GGCTTAAGATCCAGTATTATTTTGCAGCGCTTTTGAAACAAACAATCCCAAATGAATATAGAGCGGAAGAAGTGATCACGAAGAATCCGCCGGTGATACTCCAAAAAAGAACTTCTATGCATAAAATACAAAAAACAACAAATCATTCACATCGCATAAGATACTAAGTGGAAATGAAAGATGTCGTAGCGTAAGAATCAAGTCTCCCCTTCCCATTCCGCCCATTTCTATCTCAATATACGTTTAAAAATAAAGGGAACTTCTACTTTGGGATCAAAAACATAACAAGTAAATACTTGATAAAGCATTTGTAACATAAAAATGAAAAAGAAAAAGAAAATAAAACCATATGAATCAATCAGTAAACAGATGTGAAAATGAAATAAACATTTTAAACATTGAGCGAACAAAATCATCCAATTTTTCCAACGCATAAAAATGTCTAAGAGAAATGAAATGTTAGTTAAAACCATATGGGAGTGTATTTAATGAATACAATGTACAAATGAGTGAAAAAGTAGTTGATCGAGGAACGGATCCGTTGGATCATTGTATGTCTGTGTATTTTCAAAGTTACGTCAAAAAGAACACACGAAAACATGAAAAGACGGAAGAGTAGGTGAAGAGAAAAAAAAAGGTGGGAAGATTTGAAAGAGATGTTACAAACAAAAAAATGTTTCTTTCTACTGGAAAAGATAAGAAAGATGGGAAATTGTTGTCAAAGATACGAAATGAAAAGTGGAGTAGTAAAAGAAAAGGATGCTCTGGAAATATGTCACTGAATAGATCTAGATGAGAAAAGAAAACTGGAGGAGCAAGTATAGGACAACTATAGGGTATACAAGTGTATAAGCTATCCTGTATGTTAATAAGCATAGCTCAAGTTCTTAAAGCTCGAATTTGAGCCTGAACTGCTTTATGACGCCTGCTCCATTCTCTAACATTCTTCCTCTCAATTATTCCTGCCACCCACCGCTCGGGTGGGAGTGTAGTCATATCAACTCAACATTTTCAGGACTTTTCCTTGCTCGCTTCCTGTAAACTAGACACAACCCTTCCTATTTGCTCACCTAAAGTTTAAATCAGCAAATGTCAAATATCATTAATCTAAAATAACTTCAATCATTCTATAATTAAAATTGTTCACTCGTTTACAGCACAAAGAAAAGATTAAAATAAGTGAAAATCCGTCATTTCAGTGGTTGGAAAACTCAAAGATTGACTATTTACTCTGGTAGATTCCATTTCCCATGGCTATGAACAGATATCGTAATTACCCCGCAACGTATTGCAGTACAGAACGATCATGTAACGATGACGATGAACGGAAATGAAGTTAATGGAGTGAAATTTTTGGTAAAAATTTTGGAATTGAGAAAAATAATGAAAAAGAAGGACTGACTTCAGTGTAACCGTAGCAAATCCTTCCTTCAGCAGTATATCTATGATTATGGTCAGAAAAGTGCAACACTTCTTAAGGCCTAAGTATTTATTTATTCAAAATAGATTCGTGCCAAAATTTCACTTTAGTATGCATTAAATGAATTACGCTAGATCATCAACTTCAACTTATGACTACATACATTATTCAATATTAAAACTTGATCAGAAATGCAACTGCTATCCTATTAAACATCAGTACGTCTCCCGTGGGCTGTGTCATCGCGGACCTCACAGGGCGACCATATCTGGAGTTTAGGGTATAACTAACATAAGCCATCAATCCTTCAGAGCTAGAGGAATCGATTCAATATTTAGTTCTAAGCAAATAAGAAATATATAACCGATGGAAAGATCAAGAAATCTTCATTTTCCAAAAGCAGGATTTTCCAAAATTTAAAATGTTTTGTCATTCGTGATAAAGACCTCAAGTACCGAAGTCCAAAGAAAATAAAAATGGAAATATTATGCCAGCTCAATCTGGTCAACCAAAAGAATAATGAATAAAACTAATTCGTAAAAACAATATCCATACCGATCGATATGACACAAACTTCCGGATTTGTATTACACTCGAAATCCATCATACCTGAAACTTCAGTATGCAAAATCAACAGCTTAGCAAGGCAAAAACCAACAGAACTGCTGATAAAGAGAGTAAACGATAAGGTAAGCATCTTACAAAGGTTCAATTTCCTCAGCTACTTTTGTCCTAATTCTACGCTTATTCTACATTTCTGGATACTATGAAGAAAGTAAAAATATTAAACATGCAATAAATATTAAATTCAAACCTTCATCATTCTGGTTGTCATCGGAATTTTTTCCCAATCCATCATCTGTTCCAAATATAATACTACTAATATTCTTACTAGTACTACCATCTTCATCTTCCACGGTTTCATTAATATCGATTGGATCTTCGCGTTTCATTGTACTTCACGTCTTTCTTCACAATCACCTAAAAATAAAACTTCTACAAAAAACGATCTAGTTGGAGCAAATTAATTAAATCCATGGAATATATGATCGCGACGGCAGCCTATCTTAACAAACTTTATTAATGTTAGCAAGCTCATTATGAGTAACTGAACACGAATTTATCACCACTATATTAAACGTATATGTCACTGTAACTTATCTATTTCCGATTAATTTGGCCATTTAATGACCACCTTATGTAACTAATTGTTGGTTAAATTGCAAATGTTGCAAACTGTGCAACCTTGATCGGAAACTTGCATTAGTGACTTGCATGAAACTTTTGCAGGAGCGCACTTCCGATGCAAATTAAATCTCAGAATTAGCGCAGTAATGATGCTATCAGATCAACATACTCTTAACCTATGTGAAGTTTTTTGATAATCAACCCATATTTCCATCCGATCTAATCATAACTATTCACTGTCAGATAAAATGACACTCCTAATTTGAATAAAAAGTTGTACAACGTAAAGCAGAATTGTCACATTAATTAATAGCAATATCCCTACAACATTTTGAAAAAACGAGAATAATCATGAAGTGAGAAATGAATGGTCTTGACACGAAGATGTAATAGGATGGAGCGGAAATGACAATTCCAATGTCAAAAGTGATGACACAGCAAAAAGAATGACATCTAATTTTCACAGCGCGAAACTTCTGGCAACAATGACAATAATGGTCGACATAAGAGCAAACTCTATGTCACCAACAAATGTCAACTGATTCCCGACTTGAACCCCGGAAAACTGTAAGAGTCAAGTTTGACGTATGTCTCCCGACGTTTTTAATCCATTGATAAATTTTTTTCTATCATCTGAGCATTATGATTATCATATGATAATGATTTGCTCCATATATGTATATTCGATAAAAGAGAATTTTACGTTCTACTATAATTACAACTGGAATATCGAATAAATGATACAATAATGTGTAATATACGTGATGTAAATGGCATTTTAACTGCAAAACAATAACAATAACAATAATAAAACAGAAATGTAGCATTGCTACGACATTAAAAAGTTGAGTTGAACACTTTTATTGAGATGGTAACAGATGTGTTATTTGTGGTACACAGTAGTCTATTTCATGATAAGCGAAAGAAGGATAAGGAAGATAGAATTAGCAGTTTTTGATAATTTCAGAATTGGAAAAGGAATGAAAGATTACTATATACCACAAATAACACATCTATTACTATTCCAATAAAAATGCTCAACTCAACTTCTTATTGTCCTTGCAATGCTACACTTCTGTTTCATTCCGTTTTAATAATATATCATTTCTGCAACATTTCTTTGTTCCAATCAAAAAGCTTGCTAAATAAACAGATATGAGAGAAAAATGTAATTACTTATTTAATGATGTGCAAAAGAAGGATAAGGAAAGATGAAACTTGAAGTTTTCAACTATTTCAAAGTTGGAAAAGGAATGAAATATATCTTCTTCATCTCATACCAAATATCAATACCTGATGTATACTGAATCATACCTACAATACGTGTGCAAAACATATAAAAACGAAATGCACCAATGAAATGATTTAATTACACATTTCCACAAGTAAAAATACGTGAATATGATCAAACGACTACAACGATTACAATGAAAGGATACCGCAGGAAGTAAAAAATTCACGTTAATCAATATTTTGCTTCAAATTACATAAAAATGTAGCAATCAGTAACGTCAACATGAATGAAAGAAATATATCAAAAATCAAAAAATGACACGTAATTAACGCAATTGTACATATCTATACTCATAAATACCTACATAGACATAAACTTAGACAGACAGACAGACAGACACACACACACGGACAAGCACACACACACACAAACACACACACACACACACACACACACATACACACACACTCCACAGGAATCGATTTGTCCAAGTGAACATAATACAGAACTTGATGTGTTTGCTGAGCATCGGTGGTGACGAGATTTGAATTGCTTAGGCGATTGAAGTCGTCTGTCGTGTTCACGTATGAAGTCCATATGATAAAGAGCAGAGATTATTGATCGATACGTCTAACGTCCACTTACACTATCGATTTTTTCACGAACTAATTCATCCAAAATCCAATGAAACGGAAATTGCGCATAGTTTTTTTCTTTTTTTTTCCTGTCATAATTCGAAATACATGTAACGACTTATCGTTCGAATTATTTCAATTTACGTAACATGTATTAAATGGAACATATTAATGTAATATTTCAAAGGTAAAATCCGGATAGTAATCTGTCCGCGAATAGACAAGGAAAATGTTGCCATATTAATTAAAGAATTTTAATTCCAAAGATGTTAATTTCAATTTTAAGTTGTGTTTATTTTCTGTCGTAGGCTGAATTTTATTCATCGTTTAAAATAATATTATATCATGCTAAACTTATTTATCGATTCATTTGGTACAATGACAATATTTAATCATTCATAATTCAATGATCTAATTGATGACATATTAATGATCCAATTTTCCTTTCGTTTATATATGAAAAATTAAGAAAATATGTTAATATTAATCGTATTTCAGATATTTTATACCTGGATAAAAGAAAGAGAGGAAAAAAAAAGTACGTGGAACAATTTGTAATGTCATCAAAATTTGGGCTTGATTATGCTAAACGTGTTGCTAAATGTAAGAAATGCCAGCAGCAATTATTGAAAGGGGTATGTTTATATCATTAATGTTAACGATAACAAAAAAAAAGAAAAAAAACGAAACACGTATTACCAATCGTAAGTTATTATTTTGCAATATAATAGAAGAAGCGTACATTACGAGCAGAACAAATTTACACGTCCCTAAAATTTGTTGTTGCGTCTCTTTATGAATTTTTGACATCCATCTGTTTTACAAAACTTTCATTTCATTTAGATTGTTTAATTATTTCTACTTAACCAAAATATTTAATTTTTATCTATACAGCATATTTAATTGGCTTCATTTAATTTGCAAAATTTAATTAATGCGTGGAAATGCTGATTAAAATAAGCATTGTGAATCAGTATTTTCGATTGTTTATTCATTTCTTTTTTTTTTTCTTCCTAGGATTTACGAATGTGGAGAATGGTGCCAAATCCTTTTACGGCAGATTCTGGAAATCCAACGGAAATGAAAAATTATTTTCACATAGATTGTCTTTTCGAAACACTTACACGTTCCCGTGCTACAACGAAAGTCATTGATTCACCGGATGATATCGAAGGTTTCTCATAATTAACTACTACGATTTTTCCTTTCCTTATATTAACGAATTTTTTACTTCTTTTTATGCTAGGTAAGGTTTTACAGGTTGGGATGTTGCAAATGATGATGACAAAGCAAGCATCATAGAGAAAATTAGGGATCTTTCGGAATTGCGACTGAAAAAATTTGGAGATAAAGTGAAGACTTCAGCATCAAAAGATACTCTCAAAAAAGCCGTTGCTAAGGATATATCCTCAAAAAAAGTAAAGGACGAGAAAGTGGAAACGGTCATATCTGCTCGAAAGAAAGAAAAATATAAAACTGCCAAGAAAGATTCGAAGGAAATAACTTCCAGAAAAGTTGGTGATAGCAAAACAAGTGTTTCCACTGTGAAAAACGAACAATCAACAGCAGAAATCTTAGAAACAAGTAAAACAGAGGATAGTATTCAAAAGATAGGAAGCAAATTCGATATGTTCAAATTATTTTGCAAACTTTGTGATGTAATTGCTTCGGTATCGAAGTACACCGAGAAGACTGAAGCTGTTAAAATATTCATTAACAAAGGTATGATTAGACATATATGTGTATGTGTATATGGATGATAACTTGTTTTGCAATATATGTAAGAATTGTTGATTGCGAGTAAATCTGTTAGAATTTGTGGGAGTAGAATTTGGGTATTTCCTACCCAAACATTGCTTTTCCCTAACGTCTTTTTTTCATTTTTAAAATAGCACAGGTGGAGGAAAAGTTTTACCCGAAATTAGTTTTTTTCTGCTTATTAAAGTCCCATTTCATCAATTGTGATCATTCTGTTTAGTGTCACGCTTAGCAGTATTGATTCAAAAAGAGAATTATTTTATTTACCTATATTGCATAATAATAGTGCATGAAAGTAACAAATGAGATTTAGTGTTACTAGTTGATTACTTTTTTAATCAATATCTAAAAAATCGATTAAATTCAGATCTTTAATCAGATAAAGTCACTTGTTTCAGAAGGATATGATGGCGATCTACACTTACTACTCAAATTTTTAATTCCAGAAGCAGACCAGAGAATATACAATTTGAAAGCAAAACAGATTATAAAAATCTTTTCCACTGTAAGTATAAATATTTAAAGCTCAATTCCGGCACTTCTTTTACAATGAATATAGCCAATTCAGAGCCGTAGACTAGTTTTTAATAATTACTTCCCTGCTTGCTTCTTCTGTCTCTATCAAAGTTTGCTATCTTTTACAAAGCAATAAACTGCTACACTCCAAAGTAAACAATTGAACAAATCTCACAGTCCTTCTTTTTAAAGCTATTTGATTGGTCTATTGACGAATTGACAGAATCGTACAATCAAACAGGGGATGTATCTGAGACAATATGCTCTTTTTTATTGAAATTCGATGGTGATCGAAAAAAAACGAAATGACAAATCAAATGGTAAGCTGAAAATATGATTGAACGATCATTTGCCGAGTCCAGTTTTGTAGAGTTATGCCTTTAGATTTATTATCATTGTAATTCTGTTCCATGTTTTAATAAGATGGGAGACCTCCATGGGATGACTTTGTGATTTTTGTATAAAAAATATTTGAAATGCTTCAAGTTCAGGTAGATGAATGGTTAGAAAAGTTGAGTGAATTAACACGGGAAAAGATCAGCAGTCACATTTCTCGAAAAATACGTGAATTGTTAGTGATCGTTTGCATTTGT